TATCATTTTATAAAACTTTTTGTTTTTGTGAAAACTTGTGTCTGAACTGTAAATCATGCTTTTTACAGTCATTTTACAGTTTAATGTTACCCGCTCATATGGTATTAATTTTATCTGTGCAGGTCTTAAAAAAGGTCTTAAAAAGTCTTAAATTCGAGCTTAAAAATCCTGCAGAAACCCTGTCTTAAAATTTAATTTATTCCTGTGGTGGCAAAGCTGAATTTTCTGCAACCATTATGCCAGTCTTCAGTCACAGTGCTATTATTTAAATTATTTAAATTTTGATTTAGTTTGTTTTCATTTTGAGTTTTTAATTTTGGTTAAAGTTGTAGTTGTGGTTTTTGTGGTTTTTTGTTATTTGTAGTAGTTTTTTTTTATATAGTTAATAGTTTTTAATCTTTTTTTTTGTTTGTTTAATAGTTTTTTTTTTTATTATAAATTTTTCTGTTTTAGTTATTTTAGTTAAACCAAATTAAATGAGAAATGTTGCCCTGGCAAGTGGTTGAAATAAAAAAAAAGTTTTTTTTATATTTTATAAAAGTTTATTATAAAAGTTTTTTATATTTTATTTTATTCCAGTTAATGTTTTTATTTTTTTTGTATTAGTTAACTATAATAACCTTGCTTCAGTGTCACATGATCCTTCAGAAATCTGCATATTTTTGTGGAAACGGTGATACTTTTTTCAGAATTCACTGATGAACATCAAGTTCAACCACATCACTGGCGACTGACAGATATAGTGTAGCACTGCAAACTCACAAAGGGAGTTATATTGCATTACACTTACAGGGAACTCCGTTACTGAAAAACAAAATCTATTTACACAGCCTTTCTGTAAGGTTTGCATTGGTAAGTGATGCAGACATCTCTTCTTAGCGGATATGACAGGGACACGAGCGCAGCTCTCCAGACGCGTGCTGCTAACAGTGATTGATGAAGTGCAGACAGATTGCTGAAGCCTGCTCACAGGCGCTGCGGCGCACTACGCCTGGAAATGCTCCAGTCTCACAGTCGGGATATACCATTCACTGAGCGTTTATTTTTGGAGCAGGACCATTTATTTCTATGTGTCCTGTGTGTTCAAATTCAAAGATGCAAAAGCCAGTATTTGAGATTAATTATGTTTAAAACAGTCAGATTTTATTATCAAAGTGTGTCACAGTTTCCACAAAAAAATATGAAGCAGCACAACTGTTTTCAGCACCGATAATAATAATAAATGTTTCTTGAGCATCAAATCAGCATATTAGAATAATTTCTGAAGGATCATGTGACACTGAAGACTGGAGTAATGTTGCTGAAAATACAGCTTTGATCACAGAAATAAATTACATTTTACTATATATTCAAATAGAAAACAGTCATTTTAAATGTTAATATTTCACAATATTACTGCTTTTTTTCTATTAGTGCTTTTTTTGATCAAATAAATACAGCCTTGATGAGCAGAATATCAAAACATTAACAAATCTTACTGACCCCAAACTTTTGACCAGTGTGTATATATATTTCTTTAAATATGACGTTAATCACATTAATTTTGACAGCCCTGGCTTATTTTATTGTCAGTGGTGTTCTAGACTTTCTTGGTGCCAACATAAGATGTGATCTTTCTTTCTTTCTGAAATGATCAATTTATCATTATTTAACTAAATTATTTAACTTATCAAGATAAAAATGTGTTCATGCATTAAACCACATGGCATCTGCTATTCAGAGTAAATTTGCAGGAAGCTTTTTTTGATTAGACTATTTTTGGGCTGTAATGACCGAAAACTGATTCTAACATCATAGAAAATTTCCAAAAATATTTTGTCAAAGCTAAGATTAGTAAAAATTATTGCAGTTGTAGATTTTTGTATAAAATGAAATAAATAATAATAATCATAGATGTCCCAAATGTAAATAATAAAAAAATAATAATTATGTAACAAATACTGTTAGCTCACATGCACATGTATATTGAACCTTGGTGGTAATTTTTTTGCTGAATGTAAGAAGATCTTTATGGTTTCTTTGTAGGTCATGCAATTTTTAAGCTCACATATCTAAGCAACCACGATTACAAAGCCCTGTACTTTGAGTGTGATGCTGCTACTGTCAATGAGATTGTGCTCAAGGTAGGGTTTCAATTTTTTGTGTTGTTTTTACTGCATTTTTTTGTGAATTTGATCATATTCACAGGAAGTGTGTCGTTTCCTCTTCCTCTCCCAGGTGAACTACATCCTGGAGTCCCGTGCCAGCACGTCAAGGGCGGAGTACTTCGCCCAGAAACAACGCAAACTGAACCGTCGCACGAGCTTCAGTTTCCAGAAGGACAAAAAGTCGGGCCAGTAGGGCTGGCGGCCAAACCGATCAGCAGACTCTGAACCAAACAGCCTGCATGAACGGAGGCAAAGAGATAGACAGGAAAATATAAAGAATAGAAGGATAGCGAGAAGTTTCGACGAAAATATGAAGGAAATGTGAGACAGATGTCTCATCCGGATGGAGAAATCAGCCTCTCAAGGTCGGCCTTTCCTGGACTGACGGTCCTTAATCATATCAGAGCACTAATGCTCTCTGCTGTCACTCGAATGTACTAGCAAAACCAACCAACAATCTAATTAAACAATTGTATTAACATTTGAAGCCACAGCCATCGCCCAGACCAGACAAAACCATCGGCTGGACTCTGAATGCCAAGGACCGAGAACTTGCTGCTGTTTGCGTCAAAGACTTACTTCCACTGCCTACAAACCAACTGTACATAAACGCGCACCAAACGAGCGCAGTCGGAACCTTAAAAGCCAGAAAGAGCAAGCGAACCGTATTAGCTGTTCCCGTATGTATCAAAGACGTTAAACCGAATCGGACACTAACACGTAAAGGGATCGCGGGTTTTTTTTTTACGAAAATGTAAATAGCAAACGCATTCAGGGTCTGATGACAAACCCTCTTTGGCCATAGTACTTCAGTGCCTGCTACAGATCAATACGACAAATGCGTTCTTCGAGATTTTAAGCGTCCGCTGGTTAAGTCGGGAAACTCTTTTTACCACCAGAGGAGGTTAACAGTTTAAGGAATAACTGATTTTTAATGATCAAATATGAAATTAATAACTACTTTTTACTGTGATGTGTGTTTTCCCCTCTGCATTGTATCTTTGGATTGCATATATATACAGTATATATATATATATATTATATAGTTTCTTTTCGGCGAATGTTTTGGTTTATTCTGACTGTCCTCTTGGGCTGCAATGGGAATGTATGACCGTCTCTGCCACATTTCTTTATAAATGTTAAAGATAACATTATTATACTAGGTTCATTTCGTCCACGTCCGTCAGCTCGTTCTGCCATCTCAACCTGAAACTCTCGCTCTATAACTCCACTTCAAACGCTGCTGTTTTTAAACTTCAGGTTTTTCGTTCTACCCAAAACTGTTCTGACTCAGGTTTCCGACTGCCATGTTGTCTTGACTGATCTTTTTTTTTTTTTACGTCTGTCAAAGCCAG